CCCACCTGCCCCTCCGGTGCTCGGGAGGCGATCCCCTTAGCGCCAATCACCTTGACTTTAGGCGAAGATCCTGCCCCGGCGAAACCCATTCAGGCAGAAAGTCAGATGTGACAGCCCCTCCCTCAGAGCCCCGGGGACAAAGGTGCAGAGCTCACTAGCCGGGTCCCTTGTCTCATGCGGTTCCGTCAGGCCAGCTCCTCTTGCTGAGCAGCCCCCCCCAAAGGGTTTCCTTTTGTAAACCTGGGAGCATGATACAGATTATCTGGAGCCCCACACTCGGAGGTGTGTCTCCCAAGGCTTTCTCCCCACCTTTCTAGAGAATCTTCCCCAGACAGAACTCCCAGAAGGCCACTGCCACCGTCAGGGGCAGGGCCTCAGCCCCACCCACCTGGGGCGGACAGGGCGGCGTTTGTCCCCTGAAAGCCAGGCACAGAGCCTGCTTTGCCCCCAACTCTGCAGCTTGTTTCCCCCAAACCCCTTAACCTGTAGCCAGCATCTCATCCAGCCAACGGGACTGACCCTGGGGCAGTGGCCTAGTGTTCAGAGCTGGAAAAGGGCCCGCTGACCCCCCAGGCTGGGGCACAAAGGGGACAGGGGTGCTAAGGCCCCCTCGGAGGAGAGCTGATGGCCATATCAGGGCTCCCTGGGGTTGAGAGCAACATAGGACCACCAACCCCTGCCAGAGCCCCCTCCCGCCCCCAGGCCCAAGGTCTCACCTTCTCCAGGGAGCAGAGCATTTGGGGACCAGGAGACGCCCCCTTACCTGAACTGAGGCTTGTCACTGTCCAGCATGCGGAGGGTGACTCCAGGTGTCCCAGGCGCCACCACTGGTCCTTTCCTTGGGAACAGCCCGGCCACACTCTGTGGAGCACGTTCCAGTGTGGGGCATATGGGGTGTGTGTGCGGGTGTGGGTGTGGGTGTGGGCTGGTGGGGGCAGGGGTGCCTCGGGAGCCAGGGATCAAATATTCCTGGCTGTCACCTGCCACCAGCCCATCCCAGGGGCCAGCTGCCTGGGAGGGGGCGCCCGGGCCAGGCCGGGCCGGCCATCGTCTGCAGAGAGCGGGAGTGTCAGGCGGCAGCTTTTGCTCACCAGGCTCCCGCCCGCTGCTGCCAGGCTGAGGCGAGTGGTTTATTTTTAGAGCCCGGCCCTTCCCCAGACACCAGGATCCCGGCTGAGACTCCCAGACGCTCACGCTAGCCCGTTCCTGGAATGTTCGAGAAGAGAGAGATGGGGCAGGTGAACGCGTGGGTCCCCTGTTCTCCTCTGGGAACGCGGGGCTGGCCCGGGGCCTCCGAGACCCTCGGGGAGGACGGCCCCTGACTCAGGCCCACGCCCGGGCCTCAGCTGGGGCAGGGCCTCCCCGCCTTAGGCTGCCTCAGTTTCCTCATCTGGAAGATGCAAGAGTGGGGCTGGGGTCAGAGGTGAGACAGAAAGGATGAGAGGATGGACCGAGACCGAAGACACTCCCCCAAAAGGAGGTGTCCCCTTTCACAGGTGAGGGGCGCTGCGCCTCTGCAGGGTCCCTGCCACTCACGCCCTGAGGCCTGAGCGCCCGCCCTGCTCGCAGGACTCGGGCTGAATCTGGAGCCGTCGTGGAGCACGGGGGACAGAGCCCAGAGCACCCCCTATGAGTCCTGCCTGTCTTGTATTTGGGCACCACTGGGCCTCTGCCTCCCCCCCAGGGAGCGCCCACCCCAGCCAGGACACCTGCCTGCCTGTGACTTACTTGATGGCCACAGCGCTCCAGCCCAGGCCCAGTTCAGGGCTTCAACTACGGGGGCCCCTTCTCCGGAGGGCCGTGAAAATCCGCCCGCGCCCAGAGGGAGGCCCCGAGCAGAGAAAAGAGATAGCGGCAGGTGGCTTCCCAGTTGCTGGTCTAATTCCAGCCCCGCCTGGCCGCCCTGCCACTCACTGGGAAAGGAGAGGGGCCCGCAGACAGAAACACGGCGAGACAAGGACAGACGCCCGGGCAGACACACAGGCGGGGAGGGGCATTCAGACAGAAAGAGACGGAGACGGAGAAGGGACAGAGACGGAGAAGGGGAGGTACAGAGACAGACAGCGACGTGGGAGAGAGGTTGGAGC